GGCTCGGGAGGAGGGCCGCGCGACGGCCACACCCCGGACGCCCCGCCGCCCAACCCGCGAGGCGGACGCGGCAGAGACCTCTGGGCACGGCCCGGGCAGACGAGGAGGCGCTGGGGGCTCGGGAGCAGGAAGTGGCTTCCTCTCCCCGGGGGAGCGGGGGTGCCCCGCGGCTGGAACTCGGCACCTCGGGCCCGCAGCCCTCCCCGCAGTGCCTCCTGCCACACGCGCGCACGCCCGCGCGCACACACTCACACTCCCTGTGCGGTCGGGTTCTCCGGCCTGACACACATCCCTGACGGGCCCTAGATTGTCTCACAGCAGTGCACACAGCTCCGCACCCTTGCGTGGTGCCCAGCTTCGGTGGGGAGGCAGCGAGCCCGTCCTCGCCGCCCGTCCAGACACCCGTCCAGCAGTGCCTGTCCCCGAGATGGTCGGAGGCCTCGCGTCTGTCCCTGCTCGGGACAGCGAGCGGACGGCGGGCAGCGCGTGCCAGTACCCGCACTGAGAGCCGGTCGGTACCCGCCGCACTGAGGGAGGACGTCAGCTGCCTCCGTTTTGACCGCAAGCTCTCCGGTTGACTCAATTCTCCTTCCTAGATGATCTCAACTCAGGCAGAAGACCCTGCAGGCAAAGCATCCCGTGATGGGGACTGAAACTACCCCCCTCAAGCCACGAGGACTGCCCTGAGCCGGCAGGACCTCGCAGGACCAGCCCCAAGACACTGATGGATTTGACCTTCAATGCCACCTGCAGCTACACACCGACCTTTGTCCCAGTTTCCGTATAGAAACCTGCAAGTATTTTCAGCACTTTGGGGACAGTTTTTGAGATGTTGGTCCAGTCTTCCCAGTGCTGGCCTCCCCGAAATAAATTCTCTTCTTGTCTCAGCACAACTGGTCTCTCTGCCTTTGGGTTTTGTCAGTGCGGAGTGTGGAACCTGGTGTGTTTGGGCCCCCGGCGCCCCAGGGGCCCTGGCACCCCTGCGCCCGGGCTGCGGTGCCAACCCAGCCCTCTGTTCCACCTCCTCGGCGTCCCACACTGCTAGCTGCAGAGCATTAAAACACATTCCTCGTTCTGGAGAAGAGACAGCCAGTGTCCCCTTTGGCTTCCAGGTGAAGCACTCTTAAGTGGGGGCTCCTTGTCAGAGTTACCCAGTGTCAAGTGTGGGACAGAGTCTGGGAATCTCACCGGAGATTTCTCTGGAGAGCTGTTTGCCCCTTTGGTCCAGGCACTAATAGCCCGTGCCATACGGTCCGTAGCAGCCTCTGCCTTTCCTGTGCCTGTCCTTCCCGCAAAGACAGCCCTTGACTGGCCAAGATGTGACCCCGCTGCCTCACTACACACACAATCGTTCCCCACAGGCCCCGGTACCCTAGCTCGCTCCCCCAACAGACCACACTTTGGGTGAAACAGAAATGCAGCTGGTCCTCAGCTTCGTGGAAGGAAAGTAGCCCCCCGCGGAGAAAATCCTTTCACCAAGTATACATATGTCAACTCTCACTGCACACTTCAGATAATCTCACGGTTTCATCAGGTGCACCCCAGTGAAGCTGGAAAAACACGGGAGCCCCCATCCCACCTCCCCTCCTCTTCACTGCCTCTACCGAAGCCAGATGGACAGGGAAAATACCAGGAAAGAAACCCTCAAGTTTGTGGCACAAGTAATTGTCCCCAATATGTATTCTCAGCCTCCCCCTTCTCATAGGAGAGCTTCAGAGTATTCTCTGCGCACAAGGGTGCCCAAATAAAAATAGCACTTTCCGCGTTCTCTTGCAGCAAGAGGCTTGCACGAAGAAGTTCTGGCCAGCGGGATGGGAGGGAGAGCAAAGGTGGTAAATTCAAGGTGACGCCCTTCAGAGAAAGGAACAGTCCACTTCTCTTCCCAACTTGCCATTAGGCACACGTAGTGGGTAAGGCATGTTACATTGGTTGGCAGGAAATCAGTCCCCGGACAACCTCAAGGATCAGAACCTCACCATCATCACCCCTACTTACCTACTTGGACTTTTTGGGGTTTTTGCAGCTTTATTGAGGCATAATTGACCAATTAAACTTGTTATGTATTTAAGGTATACAACCTGCTTTTTTAATTTACATATATTGTGAAACGATCACAATTAAGCTATTGAACATACCACTTCACATCGTTGCCATTCTATTTGTATGTGTGCGAGCACACTTAAGATCTACCCTCTTAGCAAATTTCAAGTACACAACACAGTGTTGTGAACTAGAGACACAGTGCTGTATGTTAGACTTCTAGTTTAGACTTTTAAATAAAAGATAAGTAAATTTCCGGGACACCTGGGTGGCTCAGTCGTTAAGTGTCTGTCTTTGGCTCAGGTCATGATCCCAGGTCCTGGGATCGAGCCCCACATCAGGCTCCCTGCTCCGAGGGAAGCCCGCTTCTCCCTCTCCCTCTCCCCCTGCTTGTGTTCCCTCTCTCGCTGTGTCTCTCTCTGTCAAATAAATATAATCTTAAAAAAAAAAAAAAAAAGTAAATTTCCATTTTGCCTCTGTTAAAGCAACCAAATCAGTGCCCTAACAAATCAAAGCTACTCAAGATTTCACCTGCTTCTTCTGAGGACCTCCCAGGGACCCAGGCCCACTATCCAGCTTTTCTGTTTTTGGAGTAGTTACAACTTCTCACACTCCCCCATCTGCAGAGTCCCTCAGAGCTTCTCACTAGTAGTAAGGCTATCTCTTATTTCCAGTGAATCCTCTGCACCCAGTACAATCTTAGCAACCTAGCAGATCCTTCCTGGATGACTGCTGATTGGCTCAGTGCCAAAAGTGGATGGGATGCAGGAGTGAAGGGAGGGACAGACAGAGAGAGAGAGATCTCTCAGGCCAATAAAAATAATTTACATAGTATTTACATTCTGTTAGCTCAGGTTATCCAGAGTAAATGGAAAAGAAAAAAGACTACAAAGCAACAGGGCAATACAAAGTAACCGACTCGATGAATCCTATGTTGGGATGAAACATTTTAATCTGATAGTAGCACATAATACTGTACAGGGAGCACTCCCAGCTCCAGAGTTCCCCTCCAGGTTATAAGGAAGTTCTCAAAAAGAAGTGGATTTGCGAGAGCCTGGCCCCCTGCTCATGAGAGGGAGCAGGAATGGAATGAACAAAGCACTGAGGTCTGCTCTCTCATCACCCGTCACTCGTAGATCCAGCTCTGAGCACAGCTCTTGTAATCCACCAGCTCTTCAGGCTGGAACCACAAGCCGATCTCCTTCTCCGCACTCTCCACAGAGTCGCTGCCGTGGATAATGTTCCTGGATGGGGAAGGAGACGGCCATGTTACCTAGACCCAAAGGATTCAACTGCCTGGAAGCCCCCTGTTCCCACTGCCAGAAAGCTGACAGACTCTGCAGCAGAAAAAGCCAAAGCTCCCTGCACCTGAGTCCACATTATTTTATTATTATTATTTTTTTAAGATTTTATTTATTTGACAGAGAGAGACACAGCGAGAGAGGGAACACAAGCAGGGG